GTCGGTTTACCAACATTATAAATAACTTTTCCAGTATTTTGTTAAATATAACTCACATAAATATAACGAGCACAGCCTTGGTTTTTTTGTACATTTATTTACCTTATGGCGTGTTGATTCTTTAACAGCTGCTCCGTTGTGAAACCAAATAATGGTGGGAATAGGATCAGCGTTAACGCGACACTCAAATAATAGTCGTTTTCCATCTTCTTCCTGTCGTATAGCGGGTTTTTTCGCGAATGTCGGCGCGAAACCGTCGATTTGTCTGCAACGTAGGTGTATATCAAGTTACAATCATCTAGTCGAATTATTCAACTTTGGACAGCATTACATATGGTAGGCTGGGTTAACAATTGTTATAAATACTTGACAAAATTAGTAGCTTATGTAACATGTAGTCATCCAAAAAAGAAAATTGTTATATCTTTTAAGTGACAAAGTATTGTGGGCCCAAAATGAATGTTTTAAGATTACGTTCGCCCTATAAAATTTACCATCTAAAAAACACAAACAATATTCACACTATTTAATCTTTGAAAAGCTCGTGGATATAAAGCGTATATTTTTGCGTGTTAATTAAACTTCACTGAAAGTACACTTTGCAGCCCTAAAAATGTATATACATATGTTTTATTTGTTGATGGATTGAACAGATTTTAAGCTAGCTGCTTTTATCCAAGTGTTGTCTTTGAGTAGAAGGCTTCTAAAAGCAATATAGTTTTATAACATTTAGTTTTTATGCATTTCATTTTTTACCCTTTTGATTCCCCTTCGTACCTGCCCCGGAATTATTTATTTTATATATTTCTTTCTTTGGTATTAATCAAAAAAGATTAAGCATAAAAAAACCTGGGCGAAACATAGTAATATTTTTTTGTTTGGGATCCATTTCTTATTTTATAATCTAATTTTGATATATTAACTCCTTCTTTATGTATTTACTTTTTAGGTACACAGCTTACATACGTTTTACACAAAGTTAAATCATTTTACATGAGCTTATATGGAAGTATATTTACAAATACGCTTTTTCCTGATGATTCCTAAAAAAGATATGTTAAATTGCCAAATTTTTGTAATTACAACAACGAAGTAACAATTTAATTCTCGCTCTGACACTTATACTACCTGCAATAGGAAGAAGACTTTTGGGAAAATTTCATCCCGATAGCTTTAAAATTAACGGACTAGATCGCGTAGAAATTGACAGAAGGAAATACAGACGGACATGGTTAGATCGACTCGTTTAGTGGTTCTTATCAAGAGTATACTTATATACTTTAAGTGATGGGGAATGTCTCATTCCCAGCGTTGCAAACTGCTGTCTAACAAAAAAAAAATTGTTGTTTCTTACGTTAAAGCAAGAATTAGTACCTTACAACAAATTTAAAGAACCCTTTTTTTTTTGTTCAGGGAGGTTAACTTTACTGAAAAAGAATGAAAACATGTATACAAATTTTAAATAAGTTTATGGCAATCCTAAATATTTGTTTGTGGCTTGTTATCAATATCTTTGGAACTATTAAAGAATGAGACATGCTATTAAAACTTAACTCAAATCTTTTATCTCATCTTGTAATCCTTTCTTAGGCTAAAATCTGCATTGGAGTCACACTGTTTCATTAACATTTATGTATTAGTTAAATAGTTTTTTAGCTGAACACATTGAACACCATTTCAAGTGATAGCTTTACTTACCGTTCGTTTTCAAGAAGTGAAAACTTACCATCTGTTTTGAATTTAAAACCACAATTAGTACATTGAGTAGTATAGAAAGAAAAATTAAAGCATTTATAAAATGTAAAGCAGTTTTCTAGATGATCATGCAAATATTCTAAGATCGTTAAGGTTTTTTAAGCTAAAACAAGCTGATAGCGTAATTTTAGGCGTTTATCATACGGAAAAAGATTAATTAAAAATTAATCAAACGTATTTATCAAGGTTCATGTTTGCTATAAGATAACACTGAACCAGTTAAATCATCAAAAGTAGCTTACTTTTCTTTTGGTTCGTCAGCAGCTACAGTTTTTACAACGGTGGAGTAAAAATATGGGTAATATATTAATAAATGTTTGAGCCGTAAAAATTATGAAATAAATATTTTGTAAGATTTTTTGATTTAATCTTTGTCTTTGAGCTGTACTTTTTTAACGATTTACCTTAAAACAAGTGGAATAAAAAAACAGGAGCATACGCTATAGTCAATATCCGCGTTCATATTTACGATTTTTTGAAGTTTGTGGGCGGTTTGTGGGCGTTAAAGTGGGCGTGACACATTGGTGTAACAAACTTGCGCTGCGTAAGAAGCTCAGGAATCTGCATGCCAAATCTCAATCTCTCTTATAGTTTCCGAGACCTCAGCGTTCATCCGGGCGGACGGACAGACGGACATGGCTAGATCGACTCGGCTAGCGATCCTGATCAAGAATATACATACTTCATGGGGTCGGAAACGCTTCCTTCTACCTGTTACATACTTTCCGACGAATCTAGTATACCCTTTTATTCTACGAGTATCGGGTATAATAATTTTAAGTTTAACTAAATCAATATAAATCGAAATATAAGAAAAAATACGAAAAGTCTGAAACTTTTTTTTTAATTGTTAAAACTTTAAAAAAAGTACATTCGAAAACAATGTTTGTGACATTTTTGTGATCCGGAGTCTAATTTCTGCTATTTATAAACACAACGTAATTTCTACCTTTTTTATTAAATTAATTCAAATTAACATTATTCCTGACCACCCAATTATATTGAAATTCAAAGTATTAACTTAGTTACTTCAATCGACAACCAGAGTATTACCAAAGATAGCTTCGGCATGTCGGAGGGTATATATATACAAATACCTGTGCATAAAAAAACAAGAGAAACTAACTTCGGCAAGTTGAATTTAGATGTCTTATAAAATTTTGGAACTTGTATACGGGTTCGGAGTGAACAAAAACAATTAAGTCTCCTTTTATTTTTTATTCTTGCAAAACGATTATTGGTCAAAGATTTTTGGCGAACGGTTTCTTAATTAGTTAATAAACAACTAACCAATAATCCGATTTAAAAGCGGTCGACCATTGCAACGCACTTAGCGCACATTTTTGCCCTCTAGAACGATTTTTATTGAAATGCGTTCCCAAACTTCCGACTGGGCTATCAATGTGTGTGTGCCCATATTGATTGTGTGGCGGCATAAACCGTGTAAAGCTATTCTCAATAAATAGCACATCATTGTTGTACCACAATATTATTAATCTTCCTGAAACTCGAAAAGACTTTTACATTCAAAACTGCTCTCAGTTTGCGTAGAAACGGCCAAACGAAGATGGCTAAGTTCGACTTGGTTGTTGATAATAACTAAGAGTATATGTAATTTATAGTCTCGTATATGTCTAAGGGGTGTACGAAAACGTTCAATGTCGTATCGAAAATATCGCAAGTTTTGATATATAGAAATTTAAACTAAAAATCGATACTATTCTATATTACCGAGAAAATACTAAAAAAAATATCATTTCATTAGTTTTTTTTGCCGAATATATTTTTGGATAACCTCTTTATTTTAATTTCTAACAATGTTAACAACAATGTTTCAACAAAGGTTATGCCTTTATTAGGTAAACAATCGCAGGCGGCTTTGAAAATGGACAATTGTTCAATATAAACAGCGTTAAAATGCCGATTTATATATCTACAATTGCTTAAAATATTAATGCTGTATCGATATTTTCTGCCACCTCTAAAATTTCTTTATTACTGCGTTGGAACTTCAGACAGATAACGCAAGAACTAAAGAAAAGCAGAGTCAACGAAGTTTTGACCGATCTACGTATTTGCAATGGCTGTAGGTTATGGTCGTCCAACCACCACCGTTTCGTAAGCTGATCGTAAAGCTGATCCTCCTGACTGAACTTATAATTTACTTTGCAAGGGTACATTTCAGTTATCACTTAAATGGTTTTGAATGGAAATTTGGGCCGCCTATTTTAGTGAAGTTTACTTACGTGTGAAATTTAAATTAATAGACGCAGAGACTTCCCCCGACTTGTTCTTGGCTTTGACTTTGTAAAGTCCAGCATCCGTTTCAACTACATCGTCAAGCTCTAATACGACCGTATATTTATTATCTTCAACGGGTTGAATTTTGAATTTGGTTCGGCCATCTTCTACTAGCTTATTGTCACTTCGAAACCATTCAATGTCCGGTTTCGGAGATGACAATAACTGGCACTCAAAAATCAATCGATTGCCATCATCCTCTTGATGCAGTTGCGGCTTTTTAACAAAGCTGGGAGCGAAATCTTCAGCCACCCCCATGCTGAGGGTTTTCCTTAAGCTTCGTCTTCAACAGCTGTGGCTCTATGGCTCTGAAAAAATTAAAAATCATTTTTTTTAAATGTAGATAGTCCGACCACATACATTACTTTAAATCAATTATATGGCATATATATATATGCGCAAGCCTAACGATATTTGTGTGTCAAAAGCTCCCATCGGAACAATATAGGTAGAAAGTCACAAGATTATAAGGGGTTTGCAATGATAGAGAACACCACTTTTTAACTGGTCGGAGCAGGCTAACTCCCTTCCTAAGGCAGCACTTGCCATAAGGTACTTTAGTTCGTCCTCCGAAAAAGGTACGTATGTTGTGTGTGGGCCGGAAGCCGTCTGTTTTACAAAGTTGCAATACAGTGTAATCTAATTTACTCTGGACTGCTCTCTTCAGATTAAATTTTCCCGATATCAGGGAAAGTACTTATTTTCAGGTTAACATTTTTATAACATACCAAATTAAATTTTCTTACTACATCTTTATTAAATAGAATGGAAGCTGATGGAACTGAAAATTAAACTAACATTTTAATTTGAATGGATTTGGCAAAGTACAAATACCCATCTAAATTTTTTTTAAACGAATATATTTATATATATATTATATTAAAATAAAGCTATACCCTAAAGAAAAACAACTAAGCTTTAATTTATGTTCTATTATTTTTCAGAATATTCCTAAAAGCGCCATAAGATGTAGTGGTCCGATCCGACTTGCTCCGATATATATACTAATGTATTTTTAAAAAGAAGACTTGGCGATAGCTTTAAAACTGAGGAACTAGTTTGCGTAGAAACGAACAGACGGACATGGCTATATAGGCTCCGCTGTTCAAGAATCTATACATACATATGTGTGATCTACAGATGTTCCACATAAAATCACAATCATTTTTAAATTATTTGACCCATCTGTATTAAAAGTTCAGGTTCGAAAGTTAAATATCTTTAAAAAAACAGTTCGGCTTCTAGCACTCAGCTTATATCAATGTACTATAATGAGAAAGCTAGCTTCCTATAAAGGTGTGTGGTTAATGATGTTATTAGTATGTAAACATGGTTTGACAGCCTGGAATCTAATGATCAGGATGAAGTAAGGTAATAATATAAGACTAATATTCTTATTTATACGTATATTTAATTAAATACATTATTATACTGTGTAAATATAAGCTTTAAAAGAATCGCAATGACGAAGAATGATATACCCGTATTTATGTATTTTAAGTTGCACACGACCCACCACGTTTTGGAAAACGGAAATTCGATCGCCTTTTCCCATTCAGCATAAATGTTGTTAATGGAAAACATTTTACTGAATAAACGAATATTTATGTATTGCATGTTTATTTTTAGTCGTTCGCAGTCACCGGCTGTGAAAAAAACCTGTACATACAAATACAGAACTCACACGACTCTATCTTTATTTATTCAAACATAGATACATGCCTATATATAAATATCCGCATATATATTAGTACATAATCAAAGATTTTTATAAAACGAAAAGGTATGAGGAACGCAGGAAATGATCGGTTTTAAATTGTCTTGAGTTTGTTTTTTGCACATCATTTTGCATTTTACTATACAACATTTTATTGTAACCTATGTCACCCATTAAAAAATATTTTTTGTCCCCAAAGATTAAATTAGATGTTGTATTTTAAACGAACACATTCACGATTGCACAGCCATATACTGTTTCGAATTTTTCATCACGGTTTTTGGGATTTTTCATGATCTATTTTTATAAACAACAACGTGTTACACAACGCCATGAATAGATCCAAGATTTCTGTATAGTAAGAAACACGTTCACTTTCTGCTCGAATATAGATTATAGGAATCATAATCGCACCTGATTCCTTTTCTTAATTATCGGATAGCAACAATTCGTTAGTTCTATATGTTGTCATTTCAGGTTTACTTCACTTAAAAGAATGAAAGTGCTAACACAGTGTGACCCAACACACATAAATGGAAAATTGAAAACCGATTATCCAGATATCTATACATTTGTGGTGCATACATGTAGTATGAGCAATCGCCCTTAAAATAAGTATGAGTTTTCACGACGTAACTGTATAGAAAAGAAACAAACTTTAATATTATTTGGGCCTAGTTCCAGAATTGATTGGTTTTTTTTTGTATTTGTCCATAAAGTAATTATTTATTTTACGAATATATAATATATATATTTCTCTCGGTTGGTACGTACAACTAGGCTACAGGTAACACAGAACGAGCACAGCACGAAATTATACTTTCTGCGAAAACGAAGCGATCTCCACGAGCTTTTGTCTATTACTGGCAGGTCCACAGATTTTGTACTCTTGATCAGCAGGGCATCTGCGCTGCCACAAAAAGCCAGCATTCTGTTAGTGCAACAGCGCAGGCGCGATTTGTTTTCGCCAACAACACATAATATCTAAAAATGTATATACTTTCGGACATATGTATGTACGACTCTACCCAGTACTACTGAGGTTTTGCGGACATTCCCATTTGATGAGTTTATTGTATATGTACATTGATAGCTCTCTCACACGTTTTCAAATTAGTCGATAACTCATTACTTTAAAGAGCGTTGAAACTCCATATGTACACATGTAAAGTTTGAAGATGGGCTTAACGAAACAAAACACAATACATACAAAAGTCGAATTTTAAAATGTTATACGTATATTTAAATTGTGCACACTATTTTTGCAGCCAAAATCTTTTCTTTTACCCCTTACTCGTAGAGTAAAAGGGTACATAGCATTCGGGGAAAAGTATGTAAAAGGTAGAAGGATGCGTCTCCGACCCTAAAGTATATTTATTCTTGATCAGGATCACTAGCCGAGTCGATCTAGCCATGTCCGTCTGTCCGGATGAACGCTGAGATCTCGGAAACTATAAGAGCTAGGCTATTGAGAATTGGCGTGCAGATTCCTGAGCTTCTTACGCAGCGCAAGTTTGTTTCAGCAATGTGCCACGCCCACTCTTACGCCCACAAACCGCCCAAAACAGTGGCTCCTACAGTTTTGATGCTATCGATTGATTAAAAAAAAAGTTTGCCACGCCCACTCTAACGCCCACAAACCGCCCAAACCTGTGACGTCCACAGTCTTCATGCTAGATAAACAATTTTAACTGAAATGTATTGGTCTCGTCAATACCTATCGATTGATCAAAAAATAAATTTGCCACTGCCACTCTAACGCCCATAACGCTTAAATCTGCCGGTAGGTGGCGTTTTTTAATCTCGCTTTGCTACTTGCATGTCTCCATTTCCCTTTGGTCCCTTTAGCTGAGTAACGGGTATCTGATAGTCGAGGTACTCGACTATAGCGTTCTCCCTTGTTTTATATTTATTTCTTTGCTTTTTTTCTGATTTCTCAAAAACGGCTCTATCGATTTCAAATTAAATTAAAGGTTTATAGCCCTTGAGATTTCTCAATTTTTGACACACGACCCATTGTTGTAAAAAGTCTAGTTCCAAAGTAAATAGTCAACAAAAATGGCGACGTTTACGTGTTCAGAACATCTAACACTGCCTGCGCATTGACCTTTTTTTGTGCGTATCCAAACTCTATTTGAAGGTGAAAAATTTAAGATAATGTTAAATAGCTTAATATAGGAAACTTTAGTTTTACCACTTTTTGGAAGAACTCCTTAGTTTGGCAGAAAAACAGCTATTAATAGTTATATTTAGTAACTTGTAAACTACTAAAGCTACAGGCTTTTGCTGTATATCGTAAAAATGAATTTCGAAATACTTACTTACTTTCAGCGCCAAATGATTATTGCTATTTAGCAAATTGATTAAGGATGAGATTTCCATTCAGGCAAGCGTTATGGAAATTTAAGTGGGACTTTTGTAGACCAACAGTGACGCCACCAGAATTTTAAGTATTTATAACACCTTCCTCACATACGTTTATTTGAATTTATACATTTTTAAGCAACATTTTTAGGTGCAACAGTTATCACTCCGTTTGTGCATGAACATCGCCAAAGATTAAATTCTCGCTAAATCTGGTATTTTTTCTGGTATTTCCATAGCTCATATGAGTACCGCGCTGAAAAACAGATTTGTCTCTCGCTCACTCCTATGGTTAGCTTGCGATTTTCGACGATGTGAGTACTAGGCTTTATCCGCAAGAGAACGGTTTTCGTCGATGTGAGTACCAGACTCGGCACACAAACATTTCTCATGCTAGCGTTCAAAATGTACATATACGGTTTGCTTATGCCGATCAGCTTTTCTGTTCGGCGATTCTCTATGTGAACAGAGGGTATAATAAGATGCGACTTCTGGACGATAGGCTACAGGTTAATCGTCAAAATAAAAGATGAAAACTAGTTTCCATTGGCACTGAATGAATTAATAACTTGTTAAATGTAAGGTGTGCTTATGTATTTATATCGATCTGGAACTTCGATAATTATATAGAGTTATCGGAGTTTAATTGTCACCATTTCACTCTTCGAGTTTGAATTCATGAAACGGTGTTTATGCACACACGAATCAGCCCTGTTTATGAAATGAAAGCGTGAAATGGCCATCGCATAAATTCAAAATTTTCTCTGCCTCTATTAAGACAGAGCGAAGGATTTCAACGCGGGGCTTAAATATTGTTGAATAATTTTTTAATTATTCTAATCACACGTTCCAAACAACCTGCATTTGGCTGTCCTGGGCAGTTAAATATCCATTTAACTCCTTAAAAGACTTATTATGGCATCGAAGTCGAACAAGCCACTATTGTCATTCAACTCCTTTTTGGTCCCGATAAAATTCATACAACAATCGCTATTGATGATTATTGAAGTTCCTCTATTGACATCGACATTGATTTATGGTAACAGTCGAGTTCTGATTTTGCGAATCTTCGTGGAAATGTCGCAATATTAAGTCCGAAATATAAAGGTTTTTGGGCATGAGAATTGGTGGTGGTAATTGTCTTGGGAGATGTGATGCTTCGTCTATACGGCCGGCTCAGTGGAGTGGACCATCTTGTTCTATATACGCTGATAGTAAATACATATATAGAGCTGCCTTTTGATATCTGCTTTTTTGCTTTTAGGAAAGAAATTTCCTTGTCGAAAGCTTCCTGTTGAACCCACGGACAGATTATTGTGTCGGATGCAGATAGCTCTTCGGCTGTAAGCGGAACACTCGTACAATTTTGTTGGAGCCAAATACATTTGGCTCACAGAATCCAAACTCGTTGACATTTTCTGTAAGACGATCATTTAGAACAGTGGATTATGGGTACATTTACCTTCCAGTTTTATATTTTGTGTTTACAAATTTTTTTTTCGAACGGTCAGGGCAGGTTTCCCTTGCTGCCGTCAATAATGGCGGACCAGTTAACCAACCGCTTTTGCTTGAGACCTTTAGTTCGGGCGATTTTCGACGGTATCCAGCTCCACTGTTTTGCTTTAGTGGTGAAAAGGAATACCGCAATGCGATGTCCTATGAACGGCTTGAAGTTTCTAGCTCACTCTAAAAATATTTGTCGATTACAGGAAGTTAAGGTTTGTCCTTTGTTAGGATATTTAGTCGTAAGCCCAGAATGGCTGCTTGAAGTTCAACCCTGGGAATAGATAGGATTTAAGGAGCAAGTCAAGTTTTACTTATGAAGAAACGCCCTTAATGACATCGATTGGATGTTCTGTGAAACTTTGTTTGGAATTGGAACTCATAGGTTTAGGTGTTCCAATACATTCCAAGTACCTTTTCACAGGTACTCTGACTTTCCAAGTTAAACAGGCTGTCCATATGTGATAGGTGGTCATGGCTTTTGGTAGATTACTTGAGTTCGATATGAAATTTCTCAATACAAAACTGGCCTGTTTGTGTATGTATACTACTTGCTGGCTAATCTTAATTGCCTGTTCTTCAGATTGAAAGCTTATTACTAAATCATCTAAATAATGATTATCAAATAAAACGTTGAGCTTGGTCCTTGGGACGATTTTTTACTTGAGATAACATTTCTCAGATGTCAGCAGCTACTTCTGTTTTTTTCATCTGAAATTGCATCAGTATTGATAAAAGTGACTTGATTTCATCTAGACCGGGTATAAAGGCAAGAATTTAGTGAAATTCCTTCAATAGTGGCTGCAGCATAAATCTTGACTCAGCCATTTTTAAACTTTCAGTTAACTTAAAATTTTCTTTCCAAATTCCACTGCTGCAAAGTATCCGTAACCATCCAATAATTGTTTTCGAGAGTTCTAAGTGAAGGTTATTAAGACCGATTTAGATGAAGGTGCTAATGGTGTATTTGGCAAAACGATTGGGTGGGAGAGTCTAAATTGACCGTCTGTATTGCTTTCATTTCAAACTGTAGAGAATTACTGGTTCTACTTATTTCAAGGCAAACTTTTTTTGATGCTTCGATATTCTTTGGGTTGAGTACCATTGCACAGTAAGTTAGTGTTTAGATTCATTTAGTCCCAGTTTATTGGCGGTTTCCAGTTCGATCAGGGTTATAGCACTTCTTTTATCGAACATAGCAAATGTCTCAACATTAACTAGGGGTCCATACAGAAATTATTGAATACTTGTATGACCATCTGGGTTGTATCGGATCATACGTTAATACCTCCTTTGTGCCTTTCAAAGTATTGGCTGGCATCACGTAATGAAGACTTGTGGTCGGCTCCAACCTTAGATGTTGCAGTTTATACTGGCAGACCTGCACACTGTGTCCCTTAAAGAGGCAAGTAAAACACTAATGATTCTCCTTGGCGATGTCCCAACGTGTTTTCGTTTCAGATTAGACAATTCGCAAGATGGTGATCTTTATGACATAATAAAAAGCTCGACTGCTGTCAATATGTTTTCGCCATGAGTACAGGCTTGGCCGTTTTTTGATTCGGGGTTTTCAGAGAGGCATCGATTACTGATGGAAGATGACCTTTTACCTCCGCTGTTGCCGTCAACCAAGTAGAAAATTATACCAAAGACGCGTCGGCTTTTGTAGTCTCGACGCTCTGCAATCATTCGACCTGTAAACTTGTAGGTAGTTTGTTTGTCAATTCTTCTAGCAAAATTGGGTTTTACAGGTGTGGCTTGCATTTTGAGGATGTTAAATAGTTAACTACTCCACGAAGATTTGAGACAAAAACAACACTTTGTTCTAGTTTGTTAAAGAATATCTTTGAAAAGTATTTAATCTTAGCTAATTGAGTCCTAGTTCCTCCGCTGGACATTATTTGGATAGATCATCATCGGCAACACAGTCTCTTTGCCTTCACCAATAAGGCACTTGCGCAATCGAATAAGGTCTTGTCTGTTGTCATACTGGGACAGTTCAGTGAAATCTTCGAAGCTTTGCTTAAACAGTGTCCAGACATCCGTAACAACAGAAATTAGCGGCAGATCCACAGGTTGACAATAGCGGTTTGGTGTGTGGCTTCCGTCAATTTTGATGTTGGAATGATAACTAACCTGATAGCTAGGCACCTGTGGATCAACTAAAATCGTACTCTATGGTCAAATTCTTTTCCAGATTATCAGTTTCTTGTCTTTCAAATTGTCTAACCTGCCGAGCAGCTAGCGTTTTTATTTCTTTTTGATTGTTTTGAATTTCCAAAATTCGCTTGTTTTATGTCTGACTGGATTCCAATTAGAATTTCCGATGTGTCTGCTCTTAGTGCCGACAACAAAGGCGCGATTTCTGCAATGGGATTGCTGTTGCTGCCTGTGCCTTCGTCTATCTCGATGTTCTTTGAAGCTGGAGTTGAAAACATTGTGTGCAGGTCGTCTGCTGACTCTTCGTCCGACATCTTAGTACTTCTTAGATTATGCTTGCTCATATGCAATAATTAACGAGCTGGTCAAAGTCTGAACTCTTGTCGTAATTGGTATTTTATTTATAATAATACACTTTACAATTTTGCTTTTCTTTTACACCCTTAAGTTTCTCGTGTCGGCGACTTTAACTTTTCATAAAACAATGTGACCAGAATCCTTCCATTGATAAAACCTAAATTCTTAGATATTTATCGATATTTGATTGGCGAATACAGTATGCCGTTATAATTAAGAAACCCACATGTTATAACTTCTGCTTAAATAAATTTCAAATCATAACAGCCATGGACGTGTCGTGCTTTTATCCGCAAACACAGTTGACTTTCGGTATATACAATTTTTCATTAGACTACCTTTTTCCGATAAATGCGTTCCATTTGCATATTTAATTGAAGTCAAATTGCAAACATATCACTTAAGCCATGTTTAGACAGTAGTCCAAGTTCCTATAATCCCTTTGCCAATAGCCTAATTGGGGCGAAATATTAAAACTGATATAATCTCCATTCACAAGCCTTATTTCGAAGTGGTTGATATTTGTATGTTAATAACGTCTAGGAAAATGTTTAAGGGAGAAATTCCATTATCACTTCCACCCCTAATAATCAGTGTATTGAAAACAACGTTTTTTTAAATAGAATGGGAATACTTTTATAGTATCTCAAATAAAATGGAATGAGTAGATTTATGGCCCTAGCCTGAAAGTATGCTTTAACATAAATTTACTTTCGAACCGTTGTTGGGGCGTGCAAACCGAAACCTATGAAGAATTATGCAAACCGAGTTTTCTCGACATTAAAATTTCTTATAACGCAAAACTGAATGCATTTTCGAGACCTTCAATTGGAATTTTTCCGCGGCTAATGATTGCTGTTGCCAAATTGATCACATCGGAGAGTTCCATACAGGAAAGCGTTATATAAATGGAATCAGAACTACGTTTAATCTCCTGGGAATAGTGAAGCGCGTAGAGTTTCGACATCTTAGAAAAGAGTGGATCCTTAAAACTATAAATAACACCTTCGTTTCGCAGTTGTTTTTGATTATCGTTTCTGTATATAAGAATCAATTTGGTCAATTTTGGAAATTGGTAAAAAAAATTTTGAGTCGATATGACATTTGTTGTTATAATTGAAAAAAAATTTTACAACAAGTGGCTGGAGCTTCAAAAATATCTCACAATCGCATGTGCAGAAAGCACCTAAGATCATAAAAAATACTGACTAGAAATAATAAGATACTGAATTCATTTGCAAGAGCAAACAATAGTTTATCTATCTATACTTGAAAGGACCAAAACGCCCGCCGTTACTTGTAGAGTGAAAGGGTATTGTACTCCTCGGTAAGTGTGTAACAGGTAGAAGAGTACTCCCCTCCAGCATCCTAAAGAAAATATCTTTTTCGCTACCTCACTTTTTATGAAAGAATTTTCACCATTTACATAAAAATGCGTCGGTGAAGAGAGCTGTTTTTAAAAAAGGTAGGCGAACGGTGTATACGGATGTAACGAGTAACGAGTATAAGAATGTACAAGTTTTAGTACCTGAAATGTCATTAGCTTTTATTTGAGCCATTAAACATTTAATCATTTCATCGTTAAAAAAGACTTCTCGACGCCACATATTGTGCAAACAATTTTCAACCTGTAATTATACTAGATTCGTCGAAAAGTGTGAAACAGGTAGAAGGAAGGGTTTCCCTATAAAGTAAATATATTCTAGACCAGGATCACTAGCCGAGTCGATCTACCCATGTCAATCTGTCCGTCCGTCCGTATGAACGCTGAAATCTCGGAAACTATAAAAGCTAGAAAGTTGGGATTTAGCATGTCGATTCTTCAGCGCAGGCAGTGTGTCACGCTCACCTTAACGCCCACAAACGTCCATAGCGCTAAAAACCGTCCAGCACCCCCAATTTCATACCCTAGCAGGGGGTATAATGATTTCAGTCAAAAGTTTGCAACGCAGTAAGGGAGACGTTTCCGACCCCACAAAGCATATGTATTCTTGATCGGCATCACTAGACAAATCGATCTATCCATGTCCATCTGTCCGTTTCTAAGCAACATAGTCTCTCAGATTATAAACTATCGGGATGTCTTAAAAGTCTTCTTTGTTTTGCAGGTAGTATATAGGTAGGAACGAGCCGGATCAAGCAACCACATCCTACAGCCCCCATAGGAGTGATCAAAAAAAATATTTAAAAAAAAATTAAACTATATAACTTCTATTATTCTTTTAAAATTTCACAATTTCGAATCAAATTTAAAACACATCGAATTATATTACATTTTCGGTAAGCATACACGGAAGTAAATTAAAATGGAACAATATCTTACAATTTTTGTTATTACTTTTTAGTTTTCTAAAAATCTGAATGCTCTTTACATACAATGCTCCCACGAAAACGACTTGCAAGGGTATAGAAACTTCAGCGTGCCGAAGCTTCCTTTATTGTTTAATGTTAAAAAAGTGAGATTTTGTTTTGATTATTAATGTCCATCTACATGCCAAAAATTTTTATAAGCAAATGAAGTGTGCAATCTTGAGGACAGACGCTTTGCAACTTGTAACTCTCTATCTCCCTCGCACGTTCCTTAGCTGAGTAACAGGTATCTTATTGTCGATGGCATTGACTTTAGCGTTATATCTGGGTTTTGTTTGCAAGTTTTCGGTATGTAGCCTTTCTGATTGAGGTGAGCACAAGGCGTTATAGATAACTTATTAATTTTTTCGTCACAAAAGTTGATATTATAACTTTTGTATGTTGAAGGTGCGATCTCCCTATTTCTTACCTCGTTACGAGGTGTCTTTGCTTGACATAAAGCAAGCAATCTATGGTAGGGTAAATTATCTTGCCTCAGACTATGAAGCCTGATTTTCGTAAGGGTTAGTTTAAAGCTTTTACAATACAGAAGTGAAAACCAAATAATTGTAGTAACTGTAGTTCCCAAGTCGAGCGTAACAATGAAACAGGATTTGATTGTCTCCATTTGTCAAAACTAAATCATTTAATTTACACCAATTATTCTACACTAAAGATTGGATTTAATGGGCGGAACTATATAATGTATACATACATATGTATTTTTCTACAACCTCTATTATATTTTAAGAGATATGTAAATTCGATTTATTATGACCTCTTGTGGATAGAGGGCGGCTTACAATTATGTAAATAGTCCATTATGAAATGCCTCTCTGACTAAATCACCCTACTTTGTTTATACCCAAGGTGAATAGAAGCATGAGGCGAAGAACTGTTGCTTTCCTGGAGCAACGTGCGCTGAGGCTCCGCCGGAAGAGGAGGATGTCACGTTGTTGGCAGCCGAAGCGTAGTTGTAGCTCATGTGTGCATATGAAGATACGGCCGGCGAAATCGGGTCGGTCGCGAATACAGAGCTGTGTCCAACTCCCAGGTGGTTTGAGTTTGAATTGCATGGTGAGGGGCATGGTTCTTGTGGCATGTTGTGATGGGAGGTCACATTAGCGCTAGTACTGGATGATGTTGAGAAGCTTGATGCAGGTGCACTGCTCGATGGTAACGGGGGAGGGGGCAAAGCGTAGGCGGACAGAACTTCGTATCCCGATCCACCGCAGTTTGCTCCCAGATTTCCCGACTGGGCATTGCCTATACCTCCCGCAGGGCTGCCCACGTCACCCGCCACTATGTGGTGGTGTGGCGGTGCGATTGGCGGTGGTCGTAGACTCATGTGGCACGGATACAAAGATGGGGGCGTAAGGTCGCCCTGTTGCGATATTGGAGATGGTGGGGCCAACGATCCGACGTGGTTGAAGCTCGATATTGGTGTTACCGTTCTGAAAAAGAAAAGGTCGAGATTTCGATTTAAATTTTGTACAACCTCTCGAGAATATTCGATGACTGTACCTGGATGTTCAAACTAAAACAGCCCACTTAAAGCTAACGGTTTACCACCGACATGTCCAAAAGACATTGACCATATTTTAAATTTAACTTAAAACATCCTTCTTTTCGAATACACAGGTTAAGAATAAATATCAATTGACCTTAAAAAACTTTGCCTACAAACCGCTCACGCTTTTACCAAAAAGTAAAAGTGTGTCTCAGGTACAACGAAGCGACTTCGTATCCAATACATATTATTGATGAGGATTACTAGACGAGTCGATCGTGCCATATCTGTGTGATTGCTAATGTTTGTAATCTCAATGTGTCAAGCCGACAAGTGTAAATTATTTTTTTTTCTTTATACCTTCATCTACCTATCCAAAAGTTATTCAAATCGGACCATTTATTAAGAGTAATTAAAGTTATGGCCGCTATGCCGCTGCCACATTTCTAAAGCTTTAGAGTTTTAAATTGACATGAAGCCAAACTTGGCTTATTTTATTTTTCAGTATATATCGGCTTGCTGAAAATGACTTAAATTGTTCGTGGTATACGTTAGTCGATTAATAATACCCATCGACACTTAAATTTTTAGAGATGAGATCTACATAAAATAAAAGTCTTATTTTGACAGTTTATAGGAAACAAGTTTTTTAAGTAAACGTAATGCTTTTGGAAGTAGCTAGCTAGCTAATATTGTAAGCTCAACATTTTTATTTAAGATTTCTCAACCGAAATGGCCAATAACACGTCGCGAGCTAAAATAAATATTTAACTACAAATTTAGCTGCTTTATAATTAATTTTAGGTAAAATATTTCACTTTTAGCTTTAGCTTTAAATATATTTACCCATAAGTATCGCTCATAGATAAGGCCGTGTGATGCATGTTTGAATACATCGCTCCAAAGCCGCCACTGTTAAAATTGAGTCGAGGCGAAATAGCAGGAACAAGCGCATGTGCATGGGCATGGGTGTGACCATTGCTCTGGTGATGATGGCTACTTTGTTGGCCGCCAATCCCAATCCCGCCCGGAGAACAAGCTCTTCTACAGTCTTCACTGTGACGTCCAGCGGCTATGTCAGAGGGGCAGCCGGATCGAATATGCAGGGTCGGTGTTGGGCTGCCGGTACCCTCAATGCCAGCACCAACCGCTGGGGCACTGGCAACGGTGGACAATGTATTTGGCGAGGATAAACCATTAATGGTATCTAAATAGGAAACCAGTTTCATCAGTATAAAACAATACATCGTTTTAGAGCTTATTTTAATGACAATATTGCAATTCAGGCCAAGGAACACAAAGAAAGGAACCCCACCAAGGGAGAAATAAAGAATGCATTATAATTTTAAATAAAACAGCGCTGTTGCTCCTGGCAGAAAATTCTTATGTTTCGATGTCTCTAAACTTGTATGTACTTACTAACTGAAGGACCCGCAGCTGATCCGGACAGCAAAGACGAACAAGCACTTAGGCTGTTGGGGCTATCTGTTAAGGAGGCAGTTGCTGATGTCGAGGAAGAGGTTCCACTAGCTCCTGTGGAATTTGGTGTTCTTCTCTGGTTTCGGAGTTTTTCCTCTCGACGCCATTTTGCTCGGCGGTTCGAGAACCAAACCTGAATCCTGGCCTCCGGCAAACCAATCTTTCCAGCCAATCGTTCTCGCG